ACACCACACACACACACCACACACACACACACACACCATGATATATAATTTATTTGAGAAGAATTCCTGTCAGGGCTGTTGCAGGTTACAGGGATATGAAGATGGTTGATTCTTGCTTCATCATGATGGAATTTACAGTTGACCCTAAGAAGAATATTACAGTTTATTGAAACAGTGTCCTGAGAGGCAGGGTGCCCAACTACAGAGGGAAGGGAAGGAGAAAAACCACAGAAGTGACATAGGTGCCAAAGAACAGATACGCAGCTAGCATAGTGTACTCTGGGACTCACATGTGGTTCATCATGGAGGGGTTATAGACAATTATTAAGATATGTTACAATACATGATTGGAAATGTAGTTAGTTTTCAAATTTGATGAAATTTGTATAAAGTTTTGGATTTGTTTTTTACAATAGTTACTGAATCTTTGAAGAAGGAAAATGGAATTGAGATAAGAGTGAATGAAGGTAGGGACTCAGTTAAGGGACAATTTCTGGCCATTTGTGAAGAGATGCAACATGACAGTCTGCACTGACAACTACATGATCATACAGAAAAGTTAGGTGACTAAAATGCCTTGTATGTATAATGCTTTAAAATGTCACAAACATTATAATGCACACTTCCTGTTTTGGTACCTATTTGGGAGGTGGATAAGCAGATGGTTCAGGTAGATGGACTTCTGTTTTGTACAAGGGAATGGAGATCTTGAGACCCTGCCTTAGCCAGGGATGAGGAAGCAGTGGCTTACATGTGAACCAGAGCTGGGTGATCAAGCTCAGGGCTCTGTCTTGGTTATTTCACACCAACCATGTGTGCATTAATTTAAAGCATGGATGGGGTCAGCCAGTAAGGTCAAGAAATATTCACGGGTCCGTGTGAATACCTGGAAGGTGCTTTTGCCGAGGACATGGTGTGTTGAAGTGTTTGGAGGTCTGTTCTTGTGACTGTTGGAAACAGAGGCAGGCTCATATTAGATACCGTTCTAGAGAGTCTTCCAATCAGTGCTGGTGATCAGCATGTTAAGGATCTTTAACCCACACCTTTAAAATGAGTTCTTACTTGTTAACGGTTATGGGTTATGTTCTCTTCTCTATCCCTGAAGGACCTGGGAGAAGCAGAAGTGTGTCTCTGCTTTCTCATCGCATCCTCTCCCACACTGATGATACTTTCATTACCCTCTTTCCAGCCTGGCCTCGAGTCACTGCTGTGTCTGTTCAATAGTCTTTCAAGTTAAGTGATTACTATTCTGGTCCAGCGAGCAATATGAGGCTGGCTTTCAGACCCTGGGTAGCACAGGTAGTTTGGCTAAACCATCTGGAAGGCTGTGTTGTCAGAGACATGTAACCACTGAGCTTCACAAAGTTTGTAACCTGAGATTTATAGGGAACTGAATCTAAAACCACATGATCACACTGCTGAGTCTAGTCTCATAAAGCTGTTTCTGCTGTGTAATGTTTCAAAGGGAACCTAAAATGCCATAGTCTTTCTCTCCTAATTTTGTCCTGCTTGATTAACTTGTACTCTGTGTTAGTAAATTCAAAGGAAACAATTAGTTTCTATTATAATTGGGAGCCACAGTCAGTTAAGGTACTTTGGAAAGTATAATGACCTCTCTGGTACCACAGGCTAGCTGGTGCATCAGCCGTTTCTTGCCTGGTACTCTGTTTACTGACTCCGCTTCATGGTGTGAACCTTGTGTCTGGAAATTATAGTTTCCTTCAAAACAGAAAGGGAAAAAAAGGAAGGAAGGAGGGATGAGGGAAAGAAAGCCTGATTTGTGCTTCATCTAACACAAAGAGTTTTTAATGACAGTAGGAAGTCAGTAAAGGATTTTCATCAAAATGTGCTATTTATGAGTTGAAAATTGTAATTTTAAAAAATGTGAGTTTTTAAAATACTATCTTAAAATAACAATAAGGTTTTAAAAACCATCTGGATATAGTGGTGCATGTTATTAATTACCATACTTGGGAGGTGGGGCAGGCAGAAAGATCAGGAGTTGAAGGCATCCTGAGCTACCTGATGGGTTTGAGAAATATCCTGTGTCACATTAGCTTAGCATTTTTATTTTTTAGAATAGTCTGTTCAGACCACTTTTACTGTTGGATTTGACAGGTATGACAGGAGACTGATCTACACGGAATCTAGAGAGAAAGTGTGCAGAGGTTTCAGGTTAAAGGAGCCTGGAATTGACTTTCCATTAAGTCTAGGCTATTTGTGTTGGTTCCTTCACAGTAGAAATGTGCTTAAAGTTGACTGTTTTCTTCTTCTGCACCATCTGAACCCAGTCTCCACTTATCTTTTGTAGCTCGAGACAGTGGGATGGCAGCTTAACCTGCAAATGGCTCATTCGGCTCAAGCAAAGCTGCAGTCTCCTCAGGCCGTGCTGCAACTGGGAGTGAGCCAAGAAGACTCCAAGGTGAGAAACCACGCCCTGAGGAAATGAGGTATTTTTGTTTGGTAGGTCTTGTACCTCATTGATAGAGGAGTCTGGCCTTAAAATCAAGTGTAAATCAATAACAACAGCTTATCTTGCAATATGCTTCCCTTATAGACCATTTTATGTCTTTTCATTTGTGTGAAGTGAAAATGTTATGTAGTCCCTATGAAATTACTGTTTTAATGCCCCCTTGTGTGTATGTTGTGTGTGTACATGTGTGTACACATGTGTATTTGTGCATATGTATATGTATATATGTATGTGTATGTTTGTGTGTTTTAAACTGTAAACTGCATGCATAAAGGGAAAGGGACATTTGCTGTTGTCCAGCCAATGCTTGGGCCAGTGAGATAATATGAATTACATTTTTGGGAATAGTGTGTTCATGTGTTTAAATCTTAACTCTTGCAAGATAGATGTTTGCATTAGTTTACATCATAGGGCAGCTCCTTCTTTAGAATCAATTTTGGAGCAACCTGTACATAATTATCAAAGGTGAAAGAAGTACCACGGAAGGTTCCCTACCACAGCATGTAGAGAAATACGTTTCAGATATAATGAGAGCTATCTATCATATTTTATACTGTAATTACCCCTGAAAGATAGAAAAGGAGAGTAAATCCCCACCTCAGTAGATGAGACTTTGTATTATTTTGAGATGTTTGAATAGAGCTGGGCATAGGTTTCTGTGGGAGATCTGAGGATGGAGAGGTTACAGTGGATGACTGTGCTGTGTTTATAATGGAATAGGATGTACTTTGATAGTGTGTTCACAATTAGTTATTATATCATAGGCATTTGTGTAGTTTTGAAGAACTGGACTACTGGCTAGCCCAGGATATATAACCACAAAGTATTAATATAGGATTTAATTCTCACATAAAATGTATTAGTTTAATACAGTGTTCCCAAATAATTTCCTTTCACACATTTTCCACTGGAAAACAATACAAACTTACTAGTCAAGTGTCAAATTGAGACTTATTGTTTGTGCTGCAACTTAGTTGTTACATAATTGTGACATGGTGTTTAATCTTTGTAAGAAGACTCTTTCCTGTAGCATGTAGTGTGTATCTTACAGGGTTTCTGTGGGGATTACACGCCTACTGTGTATAAAGCATTTAGCCAATATAGTAAATTCTCCATAAGTACTGGCTGGCTGTTATCATCACCGTCATCAATACAGTGGGGAGCTAAAATTGATCAGTCAGTCAGTCAGTCAGTCAGTCAAGCCATTTGCTTCAGGACAAAGTTCTTACTAAATTTATTTGCTAATGTAGTTATTGTCATGTTCCTTTCTGTTTCATATGTCATCATGATATACTTGTAATATTTATGCTTCCTGGGAATTCCAAAGCAAAAGGACGGCCTTGGAAGTCCCTTTCTCCTGTGAACCAAGGAAGGTATTCTGAGAATGGTCAGGAAGGCACTGGAGTCAGCTGGGGCTCACCGTGACTAAACAGAGGCGTATTTAAGTAGCTCTGTGCTGTCTCTGTTTGATCCCTTATGACTACTGTGTTTAAACTCCAGGTAGCTACAGAGCTACAGAACTATGTGAGCTAGGGAATGTTACTTTTACCAAATATTAGATATGCTTTTAAGCACCAGGGCTTTCATGGTGCTTTGGTTTGGGCTGCCCAAGCCCCCCCCCCCCCCCAGCACCATCACATAGACATAAAACCATGCCTTTATGCCTATATATACATTTCATCGTGAAGCAGTGGGAATGAAGGAATAATGCTTCTAGCAAGACAGTCTTTTTTTTGTCTAGGCCCTGCTCCAAATGATATGACATACTTTGAAGATCCCCCATGGAAGGCCTCACCCTCCCTGGGGAGCAGAAAGGGGTTGGGATAGGGGGACAGTGGGGGGCAGGGGAGGAGGGGAGGCAGAGGGAACTGAGATTGACATGTAAAAAAAACTTGTTTCTAATTTAAATTTTAAAAAGAAAAAATAAATAAAGCACCAAAAAAAAAGTCTTTTTAAAAAAATTCATGCTGCTCTCCAGGAGGTCAATACAGATGTTAAATCTAGATCATTTGCGATATGGGTTTAAGTATCTTTACATTTGTCCATTTGTTGCTCTTTTGAAATTTTGATTGAATCTTATTACAGATGAGCATTATTTAGCCCTCTAACATGCAGAACTAGACAACCACTGTCTTTCCCAGTAGAAGAGCAAGGCAAGGTGAGAAGCATCCACTGTGAGGGTTGTGAGCTCTTTATCCTGTGTGCAGATTTAAGAATTGCTTTATATTGCCTCCTCCTATGGCGCTGTGTGGACTTGACCCAGCTAATATTTCGTAGACACTAGGTACACAATGAAATGTAAAACCACTATCAAGCTGGGCAGGAACATGCTGGGTCCTAGAGATTCTGTGCCTCAAGGAATAGTTGACAACTATATCGTCTCCTCAGCAAATTGCTGAGTTCTGCCTTGAGTTGAATTTTTGTTTACACTCTCCTGTTATCTTGGTTTTATTCTTTTAATTTCTGCTTCATGCGGATGTTACTGTTCATGTAACTTCTGTTATTAAATGCCACAAACTGTATTATGCTCTCTGCCTGTTTCCTATGTTTGGAAACAAGAATTCAGGAACTGTTAATTATCTGTAGTGAAAGAGCAAGGTCATGGAGCAGGTTGTAGAAACCACATTTACTGAAGGAAGAGGTGCTTTCAAAATATTAGAAGTTGGGACTACTTGGGTTACAATGGAAAGTATCACAAAGTATAAAATTATCAGACTGTAAAAATCATTTATGTAAAATAGTAAGCTGTAGGCAGGAATTCTTTGAAGTATGTATTTCATGGCATAGTTACCCGGAAAATATATATGTACTGAGATCCTGAGAGGATTAAAGTCGATGTAAAGGAGAGAATATCTGGACAGCGTTCACACAGAGTAGTGTAGCCAAGAGTGGTTTCTAAGGAGCTGCTGTTCCTGGTGTCGCTTACAGCATGCCCATGAATGTGTAGCTTGCAGTGGAGTTTCATTTGCTATCACTCTAGATAACATTGTTTGGCTGTGTTATCTTTGCCCTAAGAATATTTCTGTCTCAAGGCTTTCCTGTTTTGCTACTAATTTTATCATGAAAAATGGATGATTGTAGCTTTTGGACAGATCTATAGTCTAGTTAGTTATTTTCAGCTAATGCCCTTTGTATCTGTCAATTGCATTCTGCAAAGTAAGACAATTTTCTTAACTTTCACAGCAACTTTAGAATAAAGTTTTCTTGTTTTGTTCTGGTTTGGTTTGGTTTATTTCATTAGGGGGCAGTAGAGCACTTTGCCTGCCTCACCATTTCTGGGATTCACAGTGTTATTTAACATAACATTCAAAGTAGTTGTGGGAAATGCTAAGTGTTTATGTTTCTAATCTGTATATAACAATAGAGTTCTCCTGTTTCCATCAGCAGAATTAATGCAGATTAATCAGATATGTATAGAACAAATAAATGAGATCAGCATGAGTCAGCTTTTGTTAATTTGTCTGTGATCATTTGCCAAAATGTAATTTATTAAAAAGCTTTCTGCACTGCTGACTTTTTTGTTTCATTCTGTCACTTACATTTAGTTCTTTACAAGAACATGGAATAAAATAATCCCCAAGATAAATGAATGGCTCTGTTGGGTAATAGTTTAAACTACTTCTAGGCTAATTATAGTCTGTTGAATTAAAAAAATAAATTGTGAAGAATACAATGTTTTTTGTAACAAGTGTTGGTAATTTTGAATATCATCAATAGTTTGAATATTCTAAAAATGCCAAAATACTTAAAATATACATTTAATTTCCTTATCAGTTAGTTATTCAACAGAATCCTATTTTAGTAATGTAGAGATTAAAATTGTGTTTCATTTTTAATCTACAACCAAGATAAAATTACTTTCATAGCAAACTTTCATTTCTCTTAATGTTAAACTGGACTTTACTTAGGGTGCAGAAGATATTTACAGATAAGTAGTTATGATTTTGAGTAAATATAGATCTTTTCATGCTAGCTTCTGAGGTAGATATTTTCCTATTTCCAGCTGTTGTGTACATTCTGTTCAAAGAGAGAAAATGAGCTTTACTCTTACTGTTTATAGTTTTTTCTAACTATGCTGGGAATAGAACTCAGGGCCTTTACATGCTAGGCATGTGCTCTACCACCAAGCTACCTCCCGCCCCCTTTATGTGTTCACTCTGTATTAGACACTGATATTGTCAGGCTTTTGTGTTTAAAGCATCTCTTCTAGTCATGAATGTTAGTCTTTGATAGATGGATAAAGGGAAATTTAGAGAATTTAGATCAGTTTCCAAGGCCATAAGGCTAGTAATGTGCACATGCAGAATTTGAAGCCAGGCCATTTCACTGCACTGTTTATTAATCCAGTACTGTGGGTACTGGATTATTTTCCTTTTTTACTGATGTGGTCCATTCTGTAATGTGTACACATATTTTAAATTCATGCTTTTATTGTTATTTTCTTCTTAAGATTATGTAGATTCGGCTTTCTGTTTCCTTTATGGAATTCAGTTAGGGCAGCAGATGCTTTGTCATTGAGAGATACTCTTTTACTTCTGCATAACAAATGTATGTTTATGTATGGATGATATTTCAATAGGACGTACTTTTTTAAAAAAAGCAAATCTTAGTATAAGGATTAGATTATGCCTTTGCATGATGCCTTTAAAGCAGATTCTGTTACTTAAAGGGGAAACGTATATTCTGATTTACTTAAAATAGATGTCTCAATAAGAAAAAAAAATGTGCTAGTCAAATCTTGGATTCTTGTTATGGCAATTTAAGTCCCCTTTGGTCCCCTTAAGGGTGATGTAGTATAGACTGAATTAGATGTACCTACAGATTTTTCTAAGATGTTCTCAAATATAGGTCAGAATTTCCTAAATGTATTTTAAGGTATCCTATAGCACATCTTTATTAGCCTAAGTCACATTAAAGGTTATTTTCTTATTCTTGATAGTGCAGTCAAGATGATCTATGTGATTGGCACAATTCAAA